ACTGTGAATTTTAAGGATACTAATCACCAGTTAAAAGCTAGCACTAAGAAGCTGGATAACAAGACGATCTTTAGAAGGATTGCTTTATTTAACTTTACCACTTTTACATAGATGCTTATATAATAGTACCACTTATTACGCCTTTTGCCTGTATACGCATCCTTTCAACACTGGGATAAGTATTGGATTAATCTACATAAATATATACAGAATCGATAAATCAGATAAAGAAATTACCCCTGATCCTTCCACGACTGGTTTCTGGGGACATGTTGGCGGCAGATCTGAACTGCTGATAAAACCTGATACGACGGCATCTTGGGATGACCGTTCCTCTGTGAAAACAAAAATTTGGGAAAAAAACCCAGGCGAAAATGCATACCACAAAATGAGTAGGCCATAAGTTAATGTCAATGTCTTTAGCATAAAATAATCGCCGAGTACTTAAATAAAATCAAGAGAGTTATAACACTTAGAATTGCGAAAGTTAATCATAATTGCTGGTAACCGCTGACACGAGCCTGTTGGAGTTTAAGCGAAGCATCCTCTCAAGCTGAGAAGTCAATAAAATTTAAGAATCTAGTATGTAATATAATTATATCCATTCAAAATCGCAATTAAATATTTGATAAAAGTGATTTGGCCTCGTTTTAAAAACCTGGTCGTATTGCCAGGAAAACCTAGAGTGACGCACCTGGTCCGGAGTCCTCTGTCAAAGTAATCATGATAAATTCCAGCGTCGCACCATGGACTTAGTATATTCCCAAACGTCTCGTCGGCGTCGCCTACGATCCTTGCCATTCTTAGTACTACACTGCAACTCGTCAGAGACAAGTGAGAAAAATTCTGGACCCTTTGTGAATTCTGGTTAGTTAAAATTTGGAGTTTTTCGAAAATCGTCTGAAGTGAGAAACCTGCATAGATCCTGCATAAAGATATACTTAATGTCTGTGAATGTAAATAGATTACACTTTTTTGTCCCATATGATTCCTCTTCTTTTTAGATGGAGGCATAATAAGGTATTATGCTAACTGTATCCGAATGGCACTTCCTCATCAAGTTACAGAACTTAGGAGTGATACCATATTTTTTGCAACAACTCCAAAAGGTCAAATGACATTATTAACTAAAAATTGCACTCTTTGTCCTGCTGTAATAGGTGCATCGTTCGGCAATCGTACTTTCTATGATCAAGATGGTGTGGCCCTTAATATGGTCGTGGTCTCCTTTCGTCGTATATCAGTTATTTAGCCTTGTTTTCGGAACCTGGTCGTAGTGTCAGGTAGACCTAGAGAAATGCACCTTGTCCGGAATACATAGAATTCATGATAATTGGACTTGGTATTCCCATGGAACTAAGATTGCTAAATAATGCACTGATTACTGCCGGAGGAAGAAAATATTTGTAAGTCTATCAGGCTATTCAACCTTCTTAAATTGTTGCCAATGTTGTGGTATAGATCTTGAGTTCTGCAACTTAATGAGAAAGTGTCATTTGAACAGAGTTAATAAAATGCTTTATAATTTCACTATCCATAAATCAGAGGAAACCTGAAAGAGATAGAGGCGTAAAAAATTTAAGCTCATAACCATTAAGTCGAGACTCAGGAAAGATCTAGGAAGATTTCTCACTAAAGAGGATTATTAAAAACTTTAGAATATGACTGAGAAGTGCAGGATCCAGCCAAATTATGATGTTTCTGTATTGACAGCATGCACTGATCCAAATGATAATGTGGATAAGATGGTATACTTGTCTTCAATTCATCTTGATTTCTAAAACATGGATATGCTGAAAAGAGGATCAAATTTTCCCTATACTACGAAAGAAACGTTTTAGAGGGTATTAGTGTGGAGGTAATGAATATCTCAGTAATATCCTTGAGCAAATATTTAGACTACCTAATGGAACTCCACTCTCACATCTTTTGAAGAATGCATACATAAACATATTAGAAAAGGGAAGTAAGCGCTGCAACAAATAGAGCGTATGCGATATCCGGAGGAGTACTTTACATTTTGTCACAGGCAAAGGAAAATTTGGATGAATTAGTCAACTTTATGAACAAAGCTATGAACACCAAGATGGTGTGGCCTATTGTGTGCTCGCAGTCTACTCTTGTTGTATAGAGGTTGTTTGACCTTGTTTTCGCAACTTGGTCATATTGGTAGGAAGACTTAAGGAGCACACCTAGTCCTGAGTTTATTGTATGCATTATCATTTCCAAAGTTGAACCGTGGATGTGGTAGATTCACAGACGTTTCGCCGGCATCGTCGCTGAGCGTTGCCATTCTTAGCACCACACCACAACTAGTCAAAGCGACGAGTGAAGCGGATCCTTTGACCAAACTGGTACTAAACAGTTTTGGTATCTCCCTTTCTGCCCTAGGCTATTCACATTTCCTATATCCTCCTATCACACCTTCACTGTTACCATTTTTCCCTTACTCGACGTCCGTCAGAGTAAATGTGAGAGCTTAGCAGACTTTCATCTTAAATGAAATATCCAAAGGAATGTATCACTCATAATAAAAAGTAATTTCCCAGATTTCAAATAGGTTTCTTAATATGAATTTCTTATTAATATCACCTTTGATCTAAAAATAACATCCTACCTGCTTTAGTTCACATAGCAGGATATAAAATTGGCTTGATTCAAAAAGTGAAAAAATGCCAGAGATTTAAAGGAAAATTTTGGAATGGCTGGTCATAGTTTATTGCAGTAGGCTTTAAATAATTTATTATAAATAATGCATAGTTAGTCGAACTAGTTGTAAGGCTAATTGTAAGCACTCCGTAATAGAGTAACGAATCGTGTGAATTTTAAATTCAAAATAAGGCAAATTATACGGAAATGAGAATTAATATTCTCATCGAAAAAGGAAAAGTATATCTAGCTGGGAATTTGGAAGAAAGTCGGGAGCCGAGCCTGTTCAACAGGTCGCTGCAAACAAAAAAACTTTAATCCTCTGGTTTAAATAAGAAAAAGTAAAAACTTGACGCAAATTTCAATGTATCTAAAATAGACGAGGCTTTTATTTGCTCTTAAAAATAAGAAGCATTGAGAAATTCGTTTTATGAAAATAAGAACAATTTTAACTAGCACTCAATAGTAAGACCTATATGCATTATGGTACTTGTGTGGTTATCTTATTTTAATTCTGTACATTAGTAGCAGGATGGACCTCATCCTGATCCTCATAGGGATCCAAATATGAATTCTTAGAAGCTTGGTACTTATTACAATGCTACAAGTTTTTGGCCTTTGGATCCTAATTGAATAAATTTAAAGTAAACAATGCCTCCTTTATATGAAATTGAGTAGATCAGGATGAGCTAACATTTTAAAAAATGAAGAATCTTGTCGAATTGCTTGTATTAAACTCAAAACTTAGTAGGAATGAAGGATAATGACCAAAATGTAAATACTTCAAGCAAGTGCTGCAGTAAATGTTCAAGCAGCTTCTTATCCAAAGACCGAAAAATGTAAATTGAAATCATATTGAATGTGAGGATATATATTTAACAGAGAATAAATCACTTAAAGGCTATCTATCATCTTCGTGCTTATGCATAGTTGAAGTATAAAAAGGCCTATGTCTTGACTGGAATTAATAGGACCTTCAGTTGAAGTTTTGAAGTGTTACAAATAGCCAAACATTTATTGCATAGATAAAAAACATCTTGGTTTATTTTACAGTAATTTCATCATTCTACTTTTTCCGTTAAACTAGTAGCTAAAGTAACACAGTACTTTGATAGTAGAAGCAAAAAAGGATATTTCTATTCGATTACTGATTTCCAGGGAGCTGCTGTGTAAAGAGGATAAATTCATATATTAGATTAAAATCATATTATGATAGATCTATTAATAAGTAATATAATAAAATAAAAATATTTTATATTTAGCTAGAATTTAGTCAAGCTCAAAAGGACTTATAAGATTTAGAAGCCAAATCTCTGAAAGTTTAAAAAAGTTTATTTAAATGTAAAAATCGCCTGAAATATATCTTACGATGCTGAGCATTTTAGGAAAAGGTGTGCCTCTTATTGGTTATGCATCCCAAACCAAGAGTTTTAGTATAATTTATATTTTGAAAAGGAGATTTAGTCACCCTAAGTCGTTTAAGAATGATAGTTAAATTTTCCAAGAACGCTATGAGTAGTTTTGAAATGGTATATGAATTTATTTATGGCTGCTTTCCGAAAATAATTTGACCTCGCCTGGATATTATCAGCAGTCCCAACAGTAATCAAACCCTGGTAATACAACACATAATTTCTAAATGTATTCACTACACCTCTTCTCTAGCATATTTTATGATGTGATTGTCTTGAAAGCAAATACGTATTTGCATTTACAGTCAAAAATGTTACTTTTACTCGGTTTGAGTAGGATTTCGAGACTATCATTATGATGCTGATAAGACCCATGCGAGGTACAAACTGCAGTCCAGTCCAGCTGGGATTAAAATACTTTTTCGAGAACAAGGCAAAGTGAGATTAAAAGACACCGTGAGACTCATTCGTCGCATTGTGGAAAGATGTGCTATCAGACATTCGTCACCTAACGCTTCTAGACAAGCCTCTTAAAACTTAAATAGGAATATAGGAAATAATGACGGATAAAGAGCCAAAGGTGTTCAGCCACTAATGAAGCCTTGTAAATTACTGAACTTTTCAAGCAATATTTCAATATTGATACTAATATTTATTGAGCCTATATGCTCTGAAAACGGCTGTCAACTCCGAAAGAGCTATTTCGGGAGTATGTAAGTTAGATCATATATCATCAGGTTAAGGCTTGTTTTAATTTATAGTTTTAAAATATTTACAAAATTCTTGTGATGTAAGGATAGTAGTTTATTTTTATTAAAAATGCATATTTGCATGGCTTTAATCCAGATGGATTTAAGCGATATCTCATCAATTATTATTCTTAATACCAAAGGACAATTAAGTGACAACTTAAATGCATTTGAGATAAGCTGTCCACAACTAAGCCGAGTTTCTATTTTGATAGGATGATAAATGTTCGGAAAAAAAGCATCCAACCAACCTCGAGGAGCGAGTTTAACTAAATTTGGCGTTGATTGGACCGAAGACTGCACCGACGGCGTCAGAGTTGAAGTCTGTGGCCTGCCTTGCACGATCAAAGAATTATCATCTGGCACCAAGCAAAGCTGATCGACAACGGCAGTCTTGGTGACGGCCTCCACGCTACGAAGAGCTTCAAATTTGTCATCATTAACAACGATATCGTCCCCACAAGAAGAGCTGTCATGATATTTATTCTCCTGGAATTGCTGTTGGCTCGGTAGTGGTGGTCGCTTATCGAGCTGCTGTACGCATCCATCTTGAAAAGCCTCAAAGAAAGAATGAAGACCACCATCTTGACCGACTGCCACGAGGGGAGAGCGTTCACGTATCGACGTCACTCCTCTCGGTCCTCGCCAGGAGCCGCTTCGTTGCCATTGAGCACGGACGCGAGTCATGGAACTGCGAAACGACTGCCACCAAACGGCAGATGGTTGTCCACTAGGACCAGAAGGCAAAAACCCAGAGTTAGAGGTTGGAGTCGATGTACCGCCAGAGGTTGGGGTAA